TTTATTTTTCTAAATATTTGGTAAATATTGTAAAACGTAACAATATATAACTAACCATTTTTTGTAAATAAATACTTACTAAATATTTAGAGAAGTAAAATTATTTTTATTATATATATTAATCGAAAATTTGATTGAAATTATTTTTCTCGATATTTGATAATTTTATTATCAGACTCTTTCAGTATACACACAAATTCTTCATGACTGCGTTGACCAATTTTCGATGAATTAGTTTATTCTTTTATAAAACATTACAATAATGTTTATATAACTAAGATCTTTAACTTAAAAATAAATTTTCTCAAATAATCATTAAGATATTTTACGATAGCATAAAATATTCCGCGTGTAATCATTTACTAACACAGGCGAATATTTGTCTTCATAACTAGCGTTTTTAAATGCAAATATCCTGCAAAATGTTTTAAATGAAATCCAAGTAAAACTTACGGTTGAATCAATATGTTTAAAACTCAGTTTGTTAGAATTATAAGTCATCAGTATCTCCCGAGGCAAGGCGAGCTTAATACAAAAGTGTATTCTCCTTATATTCCAAGCAGTTCATTCATTGTCAGTAAAGTTTCAACGAACGCATTTAACGCAGTTTATAAAGATCCTCTAGCGTCGAGCGTGTCGAGCAGCGATTAGTCACGAAAACTTTCTTTGGATTGAAAAAGGGACAGTCCTCAAAGTTCGAAATCAATTGCAGCTCTACGTTATTCGGGCAAAATTACATTGGTCGATTAGCCTCTCGAGGCAGTCTTATTGAGTCAAAAATCCACACGGGAACTTTCGCAAGTAAACACAGAAGTTCCGTTTCCTCTCATCTGCGGTTTCGATCGCGTGTCAAATTTGAGTTTTCCAATGTGGTTCTAGCGTAAAGTAAACTCAGCACACCGACACTATTGATTTTGTGAAAGGTACCGAGAAGGTCAGAAAGAGTGAGAGAGAGAGAGAGAGAGAGAGAGAGAGAGAGAGAGAGAGAGAGAGAGAGAGTGTATCAGAGAAAATCGAGAGTAGGTGAGGTCAACCCCTCATTCAGGTAGGTTTATGTCTGATGGATGAAATCTAAGTTATACAGTCTTTTCCGGATTTATGTTCAGGGTTATCCTTGAACACACTGCCCTGAGCCACTCTTATAACGGATAAAAATCAATATATACTTTAGGTTAAAAAGGTCAATATATCGCTCGAAGCTCACATTATTTAACAGGTATGAGTAATTTCTAATATTAAAAGAAAAGGTCGCTGTTGGTTCAATATCTCGGATTTTTTTATATTTTATTGCATTTGTATTGATCTTGGTACTGTCACGTTAAAATAGATTTGTTCTGATTCACTTATCATACACAATAAGAAATACGTGTACACGATGATGAATTAGTTTATTCTTTTATAAAACATTACAATAAAATTGGTTTACATCTCATAATATTAAATTATATTAATTAAATTATAAGAACGAATCAAATTATTAAAATAAATTATTAAAAAAAATTTTTAACAAGAAATTTTGTAATCAACTTATAAATTAACACGAAACTTCTATAAAAATTCAAAACATGTCTTAACACAAAAAATCTAATTTTTTCCCCAAAAATCATTTTTTTCGTTAGATAAATAAGTTAAATTAAGATTATAAACTTTAATATTTGTTAAATCATAAATCATTTGAAAGATGTTCATCTTCATAAATTTTACGCTCCGACAAACTCTCTCTCCGTAAACTTTATTAAACATGAAAACTATTAAGCTTCAAATTGAAGTAATAAAATACACATTATGTCAAACCGATTAAATAAATATAAAATTAATGATAAATATGAAATTTTAGCGTAGAATTCAGCTCTCGTTCATTGTCGCCCAAATCTTTAAAATATACTTTATAAATTGCGTAGTTTAATATTTAAGAAGCATTCTATTTGAAACTTAATATTAGGTGTTAAACGATCCAACATATCTCTGTAACGATTTCTTACTACGGTGCATGAATAAAGATATCCGAGGTTGACGCATATAGGAGCACTATAAAAATAGTTTGCTGAATACCGTACGGCTTTTATGCATGTTTTCAAAGTTTAACATTAAAATACTTGTCACATAACGTTTTGTATACTTTTTTTTGACAAAAATCGCATTATCTGATTTTATTGCTTATAAAATAATAATATACAATAACATTATTATTTAATAGGAAGGCAATTTTGCATTTTAAAATTTATTTTTATACTCGATGTACATCGAGAAAAAAAAGATCGTTTGTTTAATAATAAAAATATAATAAAGTATATTTTATATTATCATTTTTGCCATAAAATAATTCTGTTCCACTGTCTTATATCTATCATATAATATGAAAGATACAACAAAACGTTAATATCATCTTAATAAAGACGTTAATAAAGTAAAGCAATCTTGATCGGTACATTGATGACAAAGATAGCCAAATGGATATACAGACATGTTCGTATCGAGAGCCATGATTTATGACAGAGGGTAGATATCGAAAGCTGTAATCGGGTGCTATGACAAATCTCACGAATGATTTGCTGCAATCTGCCGACAGAATCTGCTCGCATTGGAATCTGTCCAAAATTGATGGTACGTTTTCGTCGAAAACGTAATGCGTTACGCGTTCACGCAACGAACGACGAGTGCTAGGCGTATCCCGTATATCAACCAGTGAGACATGATTTAATGGTTATGAAGATAATGTATGTGTACGACGACGCAAGAGGGAATAATTGGCCAGGTAAACTGGGTTAGAAATCCCACTAAATCCTTTAGCGCTATTAATGAATGTATTTTTGACACAATCTCCAAACAGATGAAAATAATCGCGGAAGTAGGAACGCTATTTCACAACCGCTTAACGCTAAAATGCATCATAAATTAAAATTTTGAACAGAATGATTCAAATCGCACAGCTGTATATTTTATAATTGCAAATATAAATTCTTCGGAGTTGCATTATATTTTATTATAACGATAGGTTACTATATCTTAGAAAACATTATGACAGATAAATTAACCTAGGTTTTGATGATCAGATTAAATTTGCAGCAAAATAAAAAATTTAGAGAATATTATTAAATCTTTAGTCAGACGAAAGAAAGCTCATGGAGAACGAAAATAATTCTAATAAAGATACCACCTATCAAGAAAAATCAAAGATTTTTGTAATCAAAGACACACCGGAAGAAGAAAAATTTTCAATAAAAGAAACAAATTCTTTCCAAAAAGAAGCAATGAAGGAGAATAATGGAATATTAAAAAAGACGACCACATCAGAATCCTTTCCTAAGAAAGCCGAGAAATATGATAAATCAAAACGTGAGATTAATCAGGAAATCAATCCAGGAAAAATTGGCGATATGGCGACGGTGACGACCGATAAACATCGATGTCAACGTCCTCTTCGTGATATAATTGGCAAACGAGCGCAGCGTAGAGGAGAATTAGAAAAGATGGAAGAAGATCTGCGACAACGTCTGGATATGCTTGAATGTTCGATACCGGCGGTGATGATATGGAATATTTGGAATATTATGTCACAAGGCGCGCCTATCTGCAGGGTCAAGCGTATTCTGGAGAAACAATTTAAAGACACGAGGGAACTCTCTTGTCGCAGCACACCGAGCTGTCATTATGATTACAGGGTACGAGAAGTTGAGGCAGAAAGAAAATTGGCGTTGAAAAAGGTGGAGGAAGCGCGAATTCTTTGCTCAGAGAAACTCGCAACGTTAGAAGAAAGAAAAAGAAAACTTGACGAAGCCAGGAAGATTCAGGAGGAACAAAAAAACGCGATAGAACAGTTAAATGAAGAAAATAGAATGCTGCAAGAAGCGATGAAAAGGAAAACAATAGAAATAGACGAATCGTGCGAGTGCGATGACATACAATGTAAACAGAGACATCTCAGCAAAGTTTCTAGCCTGACGTCCATCGAGTCCGGAGACATTCAGTGTCTGGAGAAGCTACAACGATTTGCGGAAGAGGAGGTGATAACAAAGCGAGAAATAGCCGAGTTAGAACGCCGTGAGGAAGCTTACATGAGAACACTTCAGCAGGCCGATGAATTGTGGTCAAAAATGGAGGGCGACATGGTCAGTACAACGAGCGCATTGCAAGAACAATTGGACATGAAAACTACCGCCAATCAACAACTTGCGAATCGTGTATGCGAATTGGAAGATGCGCTCGAGAAGTGCCGAGGAAGACTAGTCGCGTGTAGAACAGAACTAGAGAAGTTTCTAAGTATTGAAACAGTTGAAGCTACGATAGGTCGCGACGATGACGTTGCGAAAGTGGCAGATAAGGAAGTTGCGGTAAAGGCTAAAGTCGTGCATCGGCCAATCGGTAGGATAGATGACATAGCCACAGTAAAAGACGACGAAGTTCTTGCGAAGGTCGAAGTTGCGGATGAGGGAATACTAGCGGAGACCAAAGTCGTGGACGAGGAAACGTTAGCAATAATCGAAGTTGAGGATAAGGAAGCGTTAGTAATAACCGAAGTCGTGGACGAGGAAGTGTTAGCAATAACCGAAGTTGAAGATAAAGAAGCGTTAGCAATAACCGAAGTCGTGGATCGACTAATCGGTAGGATAGATGATATAGCCACAGTAAAG